GAATGTGTTGTGATAAAACCAAGATTGATTGTGATTTCATTACTAATGAAAAAATAGACATATATTTGATGTTTCCCTTATCAAAACTAAATATCACTTTAACAAAACTACAATTCAATCTAATGGGTGTTAAAAACAAGCTCGTATGTAGGTACTAGTTTCATACTATATTCAGCTTCTCTCAGCTAGTAGAACAACCTCATACTGTTCTTTTCGCACTAATTATGTGTGCTATATACAGTTTTCAGATTACCACAACTGTATAGTATTTTTTTGCTACTAACATTTATATATTAGCTCATTATTAATGTAAGCTTAATTTATTCTAAACAAAACAAAAACTTGAAAAACAAACAATTATAAAAAACTATTATTAGTAATATTTGGAACATGCACAGGTATTTAACCAGACTTGTAACGTGGAAATTTGTTTAAAATTATAATTAATTGTGCAATTGTTACAAACCATTATGTATTTCTGCATTTCCTGTAACAGAGTTCTCTGCGGGAATATTTACTTCACTATTGTGAACAGTGTCGGCAAAAAATCTTTTATTAGAAGTAAGTAAATCAACAAATCAAAACAACTATATGGCACTGTACTAACACTTATTTTTCATTATTTACCTAGGTAAAAAAGTAATACTGTTTTCCTAGCAGAGAGAAAATTTACTTCTTGTAGTAATTAAATAAATAATAGTAATTTTTCATGTTAGTAGTAAAAAAAGTTATTTATTGCTCCAAACAATTAATTTATTTTTTATAGATTTATTTGAAATATTTTTTTGGCATTTGAAATTTTGATTAATAAATTTTAATGTGTAATACAACCTTACTCTAGCATAAAAAATTTAAAAATTATTTATATGGAAAATTATTACAAGGATGGGACTTCTTCAATATTGGTGCAATGAACATAACCTGGCATCCAGCTATATGTTTGTGTGACACAGTGTTGCCACTTTTTTTTGTATAAAGTATAGGAGTGTTTAAAATAGAAAGATACTTGACGAAATTATATATGCTTTAAAAAACTTATACAGAAGTAAAATGCTTCACATTTGTATTTAGGTATATACTTAGGTAAATGTGAAGTGTTTTACTTCTGTAAAATGTAAAAATGTACACGCCACAGCCACAATTTTTGAATTCATATTAAAAAGCATTCATAAAATAGTATTTTTTATTTTAAATATAGCTAAATACTTTTGTTTAACCTAATTTTTTTTTCATTTAACTTTACTTTATTCTGTAGTTTATAAAGTTTCTAAACTATTAATTTTTAAAATCCACTAGGAAACTAAGTTCTATTTTACTACTATTTTAAATGTAAGTATTTATAGGTATAACTTTTAATTATATATATATATATATATATATATATATATATATATATATATTTCTTATTTTTGTTTAATTATATATGTATTTTTCAATTTTACATTTTCATTTCATATAATATAAATCTTGCCAATAATTTTATATGTGAGAGTGGGAAATATTTGAGTATATGGCAACACTGACGTATATTAAGCTTACATTTAACGTCAAACATATCAACGAGGTTATGTTCATTGCAACCAATATTGAAGAATTCCCAAGGATGTACGAATATTACACTTTCATACAGAGTAATAAAATAAATAATAAAACTCGACGATAAAAATATAAACAAACAAATCACGACAGATGACTCGACTACACGTCACATTAATACCAGTCGGGTGTCACACTAGCGTTAGGTCTGTTTTCAATATGGCGATATGGCCTGCGCCAAATGATGCGCGTACTTTTTCCCGCCTGTCGAGTGTCCATACTATTTCTCTTTATACTATGTCTAAAATCTAAACTGTCTATTTACGTCGCCATCGTGGATCTCTCTCTCGTCGTCGTTGACACTTGCTCACGAGTCGGCGCGTGGATGCCGCGCACAGAGTCGGCCTTGCTACACTGTTCACCTTCACTGGATATTTATATTGTCAAAGAAAATAAATTATTTTTTAAAATACATTAATTAACCCAATAGTTCCCAACGTTGCGTAAACGCAACATTTTTAATTGTACTTTTTTTAATGTATCATTACTCAAATATAATTTTTATTGCTGCATTTTATTTAAAACAGGACATAAAATACGAATCTAATAAAATATTTTGAAATAACTAAAAAGATATACCGGGTGGTGAATCGTCAAACGGGCCATAGGAAACTCAATGGGAAATTTTAAATTGTTGAATTGCTGCTTCCCTAATTATTTTAGATCAAAAGTCATAAAAAACTATTTGTAGAGGACTAAATTCTAAATTAAAAACAAATGTTAAAACCGTTCTACGAATCAAATGTACTTCAAAATTTTGCAAAAATATAATAGATTTTTCAGACCACCCCTAAAAGTTAGGCCACACGTAATACAAGAATATATTATAACGTGTGTGTTTTATCATATTCATGTCAGATGTTTGACAATTTGAATTGTCAATTTTTTTTATTTTATGATTAAATTATAAACAATGAATTTTACTAAATACTACTACTACTGAACAATATTACTTCGTGAACAATAAATTATATTGTTTACAAATCGATCAATATAATGAAATGTACTCAGTTGACGAAAAATCGCATAATGTTGTATTCAGGCAATAGCGCGAACCTTTTCCTGTCACTACCGGATCTTTATTTAACGTAAGATATTCTAATACACTAAAATTTAATTCCATGTTAAGTTAAGTTATACAACAATTCAATGAATTCCAATATACTGTTACTGTGATCTTTATTCCTAATAATAATATACGATAATTTCTAAACATAAAACTATAACAAATGTTATAATAAAACATGAATAAAACATTTTTATTATTGCTCTTTTCTCCTTAACTGAGTACATTTTTTAATCAACTTAATTTTTCTTTTAAATAATAAATCACAAAATTTTGGCCATTTAAATCATAGATAAATATAATATAGTTGATTTAAATATTGTCAAATATTAGAAACGTCAATATGACAAAACGCAACACGTAATACACATTCTTTTCACGGCGTCTGGCCTGACTTTTAGGGGTGGCCTGAAAAATGTATTATATTTTAGCAAAATTTTGGAATACGTTTAAGTCGTAGAACAATTTTAACAATTGTTTTCGATACATATTTGAGTCCTCTACAAATAGTTTCCCATGACTTTTGGTGTAAAATAATTAGGGAAGCAGGAATTCAACAATTTAGAATTTCTCATTGAGTTTCCTATGGCCCGTTTGACGATTCACCACCCTGTATATTTTTTAATGTATTGAATATTGAAAAAAGCAAAAATTCTGTTTTCTTATTTTTGTCGATATAATTTCCGTACTAAACTAATATTTCTGATAATTATTAATTTGTATTGATATATCTATCAGTAGAAAAGATAGTGTAGTAATTCAAAATCTTTTTTGGTTTTTGCATACCTAATCTATTTCAATAATGTTGTGTTTAAGGGACGTTGGGGTTTCCTGAAATAGGCGCCGCTACCTAACGAATTTAGATAATAAAATTTAGATTTTGCATTTTTGTTTGTACAATAATTCTAATTTGATTGGATAAATGAAAAGAACATGCAGTTTGGAGTATTTTCTCATAATCTATCCATAGATGAGGAAATGGTGCCATATTTTGGAAGACATAGTTGTAAGATGTACATAAAAGGAAAACCAATTAGGTTTGGGTTGAAACTATGGTATGTGTTCAAATGGCTATTTATTTAAATTTTACCTTATGGTGGAAAAACAAGTGCTTATAAAACGAGTTGAGTTAGAGAAAACGTTGTGCTGGATTTGTTGTCAGTGATTGAACGAAATCTAATCATGCATATTTTTGATAACTTTTTCTCATCTTACAAGCTATTCGGTTTGCTAAAAGAAAAGGATTTACGCTACTGGGACGATCCGCGAAAACCGTACTTGTAATAGTACAATGGAAAGTGTAAAAAATATTAAAAAACAAGATCATGGTACTTACGATTTTTCTTACGATTCTGAACAAAGTGTATTGTTAGTTAGATGGAATGACAATTCTGTAGTGACAGTTGCAACAAATAATTGTACCATTGAACTTCTCGCAGGTGCAAAAAGATATGACAGGAAAGAAAAGAAAATCCAACTAATTCCTCAGCCAAAATTGATAGCTGAGTATAATCAACATATGGGTGGTGTTGATTTGCATGATAACGGCATATCAAATTACAGAATAAAGGTAAAAGGAAAGAAATGGTGGTGGCCCCTTTTTATAAATGTGATTGATAGTGTTATTGTTAATGCGTGGAAAATATATAACGTGGCAAATAAAACCAAAATGTCACAATTAGATTTTAAGTCTTACATAGCAGTTACCCTTATGAAAATGGAAGTACCGCTCATCGAAGATAACGTTCAAGGAGACGGTATATCGGCTTCAAATGATCCAATCAACAATCCTACAAGATCCAATTGTGGACGACCATCCAGAAACAGTTTGTTAGCAGAAGTTATATTTGATAATGTTGGTCACTTCATTGCAGAGGAAGAGACATAGCAAGAAGAACATTAGATTCAAATAACTATTCTCTGCATCCGAAAGTGACCAACATTATCAAATATAACTTCTGCTAACAAACTGTTTCTGGATGATGTGTGTGTGCGAAGTGTAAAATACATTTACATCCAAATTGCTTTGAATCATTTCACAGTAAATAAAAATTAAATAAAAATTTTTTGTTCTGGCAAATCCCATCGTTGCGTATACGCAACATTTTCCTATTAAAAAACTAAGAACTTTTTTTTAACTTTATAAATTAGGATCTAGATATAATTTTTAGTAATAAAGTGCAATAAAAAAAAAAACAAAATTTGTTTTTTTTTCTACTCTTGGAAACTAATGGGTTAAGAACTAATGGGTTAAGAATAATGAGTATATTTTCTAATTTTAATTACTTTTCATCGATACTTTGATTCTTATAATAATTAATATGTTGTTTTATTTTAGGACAATAAGCAAGACAAAAAGCTTTATCAGATCACTAGTTTTATTAATTTTCCCCACTTTAGCTTGTCTCATAGCGCTCTTTGTGAAGTCAATGATGTATGATTCTGAATTAATATACTTTTATACCAAAGCCGACTGGAGTTTACTGGAAAGTGCTAATGTAAGTATTTTTGTATATTTAAAAATACAAAAAGGAAACATGAGATGAGGAATAAGTATAATATTGTATAAACATTTCTTTTAAGGTATGGTATTATGCAGCTATTCAAGTATTTTTCTCGTCCACTGTTGGTTTTGGTTCATTTGTTACAAATGCTGGAATCATTTACAATAAAGTCAATCCATTTTGGTAAGTAACAAAGTTCTTATTTAAGAAATTATATATAGGAAAGTTATTTATTGAAGATACTGGTTTTTGTAATGTTTTTACTGCTCAATGTTGAATTCCTTATTTTCATGTGAGCAGAACCTAGCGGGGCCGAACTGGCTCAAAAAAAGCACCAACATTAATTCTAAACAAAAGGCGCCAGGTCTTCTAAGGTTTTTAAATCAAACTTTCTCACCGTCCCTTATACTCCGTTATATTCTGTTCTACTCCCTGGATACTCCAATAATTTGTTAAGAAGTGTGAGTTATTTTCCAACTGATTCTACAGGAGAATCTACTCATCTACAGAAACTGGTACAGTTACCAGCTGTAGTCCGTTTGAAGAGGTTTACTCTCCGGACACTGGAACTCAAACCATGGGTGTATGTTACCTGAAGCCAAATTTAATTTAATATTAAACATCACATATTTATAATAACATTATGTACAATCTTTTGTAACAGCATATATTTTAAAGGGTTTTTACCTCATATTTTGGTGGCTCAGGCATGTGAACCTTGTAATTTTTTAAACCTGATGATGGAATTATTATTCCGAAAACGTTTGTATTATTCGATGTAGCCCTTTTAAGGGTTTTTTAAATATACCCACATACAAAGATATAAATTCTTTTTTAGTTCATAAATATATAGAAGACAAGAATCTGGCTCCATATTGACATAATTAATTATACATAAAATATAAAAGTTATACATTTCAGGGTTGAGTGAATAGATTCCTTGAAGGGAAAAGTGCTTTTCAGGATTATTTTAGTTTATAGTTTTCCTGTAAACACTAAACAATAGACGTACTGATAAACACATCGAACGACAATATTGGCGACATACAATACCGCTATTTACTTTAAACTAAAATCCCTTAAAAACGAGACCTACAAGATGGCTACTAGAAATTTTAATTAAGTAAAGACTTTCGTATTGAATATTTTCTATTTACCGGTGAAACTAGATGCAGTCGCCTAGGTTCTAAATTAAAAAGCAAATTTCCACGTTTAAAATTTTAACTTGCCTTTATCTGACAGAGTAACTTTAAATGTACTTCAAGTAAGATTTCACTCATTCCCAAAATGCTTAATCTATTAAAAATACCTTTTTTGTTTTAGGACTGCTATTGGATATTGTACCATAAACATTATTTTTGGTATTGGTTCGACTATTATCTCCCAATCTTTAGCGCATCACACAAATGTAAATATAACAGCAAATAAGGATGACATAGCAGAAGTGATGCTAGTTTCCGTCATTTACGATATTGGTAGCGCAAGTACTGCCGCTGACAAAAAATTATGGATAATTGTCATATTTACTTTATTTATATTATCTGGATTTATAACTATGGTAAGTTTTGACTATTAAATTAATTTAAACGTTATTTTTATAAAAGCACCAAATTTCTAACTCCACTTCCTTTACTTCTTTCGGGCGAACGAAATTGCCAAGGTCTTAAAGTCTCTAGATGAGGTGGCTTGCCGACACCCAAATGGAAAGTAAAGTGAAAAGTTCCTAGCTTCGATGCTAAAGCTAAGCGAGCACTGGCTCGGGATGGTACATTACGGACGGTACGTACGCCCCGCACATTTTTAGAGTACTGAGCGCACTGATTCGTCCAGTACAGGCGGACGGTCGGTAGGAACTGCTCTCGAATTAGAAAAGTATTCTGGATGAAACAAATTGTACAGTTCAGGGTAGTTTTGCACCAACCGAATTAGTTTACAGACATCCACCATTATCAATCACTTAAACGATTTAACTGAACATCCGTACCGATCACTGCGCGCTCTTCCAGAACAGCTAATAAGTCATCGGTACGTTGTGTCGGGATGTCCTAAAAATCTTTCTTTCGGACTTTTCGAGAACGACGGAGAGTGCGGATCATCCTGTTCTGACTATGACATTTAAGTGCGCACATTAGAAGTGAAATCAATGCTAATGTTTCTTAAAAAATTTCATGCGTACCTTCCGACCCAGTCCGTTGAATCTAGAGCGCGATATTTATTTTTAACGCAAAATGACTTCGAAATTCTATCGCTTATCTTGATTGAAAACTCAGATATACAGTACAACCTCGGTATAACGAATTGAACAGTGAGCTCTTCACAGATTGCAACGTCATCATCCAAGTTGACAAACTCGTCAAAATCCAAGTCCACGTTTAAAGCCTCCGTCACTCTCGTCCAACATCCTTCAATTGGTTCTGGTAGTTGAACTTCTGGATTGTTCTCATCTTGGTTTTGGTCACGATCATGCACTTGAAAGCCGGTTTTCTTGAAACAGTTGACAATAGTTTTATCGTTAACATTGACCATGCCTTTGTAAACATCCACATAACATATAACGTCTAATTTTGATTGGAGATTGGCATTCCAAGTCGTTCACGAATTGACGGACAACTTCCCTTCTGTACTTGGTTTTGAAATGAGGAAGACTTCTCCCGTCATCCACGCTTTTTTTATTAGCTGTATAGTCTGTTCGTAAGGTTGATACGTTTTTGAAACATCTGGGTTTTTTTTATTTTCCTATGACGAGAGGTTTCAGTTTATCTGTACAGGATGAGTTAGTGCAGAGTAAGACTGTCAAACGATCTTTGCTGTTTTTGCTCCCTTTGCAAGGGTCTCCTTTCAACACTAACGTTTTGTCCGGTAGGCACTTAAAAAAGCCCTGTCTCATCAGCATTGTAGATATCATCTGCATTGTATCCACGGGTCAAGTCTGGCAATTTAGCTTCCAATCTTCGAAGTTACATCATCACGGCACACTTTCACCACAAACTTTTTTGAAACTAATTTCGTGTCTCTTTTTGAACCGATCCAACCAGCCATTACTGGCTCGAAAGTCTGCATGCCCTAATTGTTCTGCAAACTGTTGAGCCTTTTCTTGGAGTATGGGACCTCCAACGGGTACATTTTTATCACGGCACTGTTTAAACCACTTAATCACAGCTTCTTCGACATCCTGTAGCTCACCTTTCTTAGCCTTTTTGCAAATTTTGGACAGTCCACCGTCAACTCCGTACTTTTCTTTTTTTTATTATTGTGGTTAATGTGAAGGGAGTGATATCAAAGTTCTTGGCAATCTCAAATTTCTTCTTTTTGGGATTCTCAAAATAAAAAAAACTTTACACTTCGATGTACTGTACGATAATAACACTCAAATCTTTAGGTACTGATCACAGTGTAAATACAGTGTCAAGGTCAACACTGCACTGACTGACTGATGGTTCTAGGGGTAAGGGGTGGGAAGTAGGTCACATTGTTTTCATGTCTGGACTTGTCCGTGAGTCACCACAATCTATACTAAACTACGCTAAACCGAGGTTTGGAACGCAGAAATGCGTAACACAGGGGTTTCGTGCGTTATGTAGGGGTTTGCTACATTCAATATTCATTATACAGGAGTTTTAATTTATTTCCGCAAATCGTAAAAATTCGTTATATCGAGGATTAAAACCGAAATAGTTCGTTATATAGGGGTATTTTTTTACATTGAGTGTAATGGGCGTTTGAAGGGGATTTAAAAAAATTGTTATATCGGGGATTTCTATATATCGGGGTGGTTATATCGGGACTGCACTGTATTAAAAACATGTAAGAGGACGAAATAATTCGCGGAATAAGAAAGAAATGGCTATTGGTTTCGCTTAGGTGCATTTGTTAACGTAAATAAACAGTTGGATTATGTTTATTCTTATTTAAAGAACTAAAACGCAATTCGAAATGTTAAATATAACCTTATGAAATTTATATGATCAATAGAGTGGACAAAAAAATTCTATAATTTAAATGTTATTTTTAGTATCGTGTAAATGAAGTATAGCAGGGAATATTTTAAACATTACTCTAAATCTAAATATGAATTATTATTTTAGGCAACAATGACCTATACATTACTGAAAGCCATAACTGTCGGAAGTAGAGCAAGACTGAGTTGGTGGCAAGCCAGTATTCTTCTAAGTGCTTCTGGATTTATGTTCGGATGCGCAATTTTACTTAAAGAAGACTTTGACATCGTTCATCTACTAGATCACTATATCGTCGGAAATCTCATCCTGATAACAGCAATTTTAGAAGTATTGACATTACTAGCATTTTATGGTAAGGAAATATGTATTTTCTTTTTTAGTTTTTTACTAAAATTTTGTGTGATAAATATTTGCTTTAGTTAATTTTAGGTTGTTATAGCAATATTAAAAAATCGAACAACAGCAATTGTCAATTAAATCGTTGCAACAGTGATCTAAAAGCAAAGTCACACCTAACTAAGAAATAATCATTGTGAATGTGATATAATCGAATTTCTTGAAATGATATTTTTAATGATTAATACAACCTATACTATGACAATGTCACAAATGACTATGAGAATGCAGAAATCCTCGCCAGTACTTTTAAGAGTCATAACAATTCTGCCGTTTACAATATTTAAGTGCATTTTAAGTGTGCGATTTAAGAAAGCTATTGATTTGGCTATTCTTCAATTAGCGTTTAGAAGTTTAGTTTGTTTGATTTTTCCATTGCGTCACGACCACCGTGGCACTGCGACGTCAAGATCTGACTGCCTGTTTAAATTCAGTCTCTAGTTGCTACTGTACATGTGGCCATAAGACTAACTTTGTTCTATTAAGGATGTTTAATGTAAAGTTCATATTGAGTGTGGTGGTCCTTTGACAGCGAGATATGCACTTCTCGAGATCTCAGTGTTCTTTTCTCGAGTATTTGGGATAATCAGAAAGTACTATCTATTGTGGATCGTCATGCTCTGAATCCGTTTTGTTCTTCTGATTCAAAAGAACGGTATTCTTCGCATATGCGTTCTTTTATAATTCTCCCATATAATCTGCTAAGCGTGCTCGTAACAGTTATACTCCGATAGTTATTACAATCTTCCTTATTTCCTTTTTTATAGATAGATGGTTTTTAATATAAAAGATTAAAATATAACATCATAGTTACTATAATGTTAAATGAAATCGTAGGCTTCCACGGCCAGAGTCAGAATTATAGTTTATTCGTCTTCCGGGTTTGGACCGTGTCATTTGTGAGTGACCCAAAAGTGGGTTCATCTCGACGTTTCGCTACAATTGTATGTAGCTTCTTCAGGAGAACAAAGAAAAAGAAATCAAAAGACAGGAAGATGGGTAGTTAGCAACGGTAACTCAGTTACTCAACGCAACCAGAGGCGAATACTAACTACCAAGATGGGCATTTGGTCACAGTAACTCAACTACTTAACGCAGCCAGAGGTGAAAACCAAATGCCAGGACAGGGATTCACGTCCAACAGCTCAGAACACTAACGCGTCGAGAGGCGGGAAGTGAATCCGACGATTACTCCGCTACCGCTCTATTTATAGTCGCGGTGACCTGTCGTGTCGGGACGTATCGGCACACTCCGTGGCGCGAACGTCGTGCATCGTGGTAGCGGGACCGGACGGCGGCTCTAGACTGAGATTCCAGATGGGAGACAAGTAGTATCCTTCCTCTCGATTGATATTATGTGGATTTTTTCGGATCTCTAGAGATTCGCGGATTTTCCTGGAATAAAAGAAGGGGCTCTTAGAAATAATATGGGTTTTTTCGAACAATATGGAATGACCGGTTTCTTGGCAGTGTTCTGCAACTGCAGAATGGGAGAAAAGACCTGATCGAATGCATCTTTGATGCTCTTGAATCCGAGTTTTGACGGAACGACCAGTTTCGCCAATATACACATGTCCACATGAACAAGGAATAGAATAGACACCACAGGAAGATAGGGGCGGTAATGGGTCCTTAGGAGAGGGTAGATATTGTGAGATTTTCTTGGGTGGTCGAAAAGTAGTCCTGATACCTTCTTTGCGAAGAATTTTGCCAATCCTATCAGTGACACTTCGAATATACGGAAGAAAAGCCACAGGAGTATTACCCGAAGATTCTGAATTTGTCGTCCTAGGGTGTAAAGGGGGATGTAGATGTCGGTGTGTAATATTTTGAATTGTGGACTTGGAGTAACCGTTGGCGACAAGGGTTTTTTGCAGATGGCCAAGTTCTTCTCTAAGGTTGTCAGGTTCAGAAATCGAAATGGCCCGATGGATGAGAGAGTTGATCACAGAATTCTTTTGGGCAGGATGGTGGTGTGATGAAGCATGTAGGTAACGATTCGTGTGAGTCTTTTTTCTATAAACAGAGTGACCCAATCGGCCATTGGGCTTGGAGGTGACTAACACATCGAGAAAGGGAAGGGACCGATTATTTTCTACTTCCATTGTGAATTTTATACTCGGATGTTGTGAGTTAAGATGATCTAGGAAGGGAGAAAGGGTATGTTGACCATGGGGCCAGATGATAAATGTATCATCAACGTAGCGGAACCAGACTTTTGGTTTTAAGGGGTAAGATTCTAGGGCTAAAGACTCAAAGGCTTCCATGAAAATGTCAGCAATGACAGGGGAAAGGGGAGAACCCATTGGTGTTCCAGATATTTGTTTGTAGAAATTGCCTCTAAAAGAAAAATATGTTGAAAGGAGGCATTTTTCCGCAAGATCTGCCAAAACCAAAGACTTGTTATCATTGGTCAAGTGATCTCGCAGAACAACTAGAGAGTCATGTATGGGGATATTGGTAAATAGGGATGATACATCGAAACTGACGAGAATGTCTTGGGGATCGACCGTGAGGGAGGAGATTAAGGTGATGAAATGTGTGGAATTTCGGACATAAGAAGAGGTACGACCAGTATAGGTCTTAAACTGATTCGACAAGTACTTTGCGAGTTTGTAGGTAGGAGAGTTAATCGTAGTCACAATGGGACGAAGAGGTACGTTGTCTTTATGGATTTTGGGAAGACCGTAAATTCTGGGGCAGATGGAGTTTTTCGGAACTATGGACTTCTTAACATCATCGGAAAGATCGGATTGTTTGATGGCATGGGAAATTTCGCGTTCGACTCTAGGAGTGGGGTCTCGAGAAATTGTATTATAACAGGATGTATCCCTAAGTAAGTCGTTTACTTTCTCTATGTAGGAAGGAGTATCCAGGACGACTGTGGCATCACCTTTGTCTGCAGGAAGGATTATTATCTCAGAAAGAGAACGGAGATTTGAGAGCTATGAATTCCCCACGAGATATATTGGAAGTAGGGATTTTGGCTGTATCAAGACATTTAGTGACGTCAAAGCGGATACGGTCGGCTGGAATTTTGGGAATTGTGCGGAGTGCCGCTTCCACATTTGAAACTATTAATATAGTTACCGTTGCTAACTACCCATTTTCCTGTCTTTTGAATTCTTCTTCTTTGTTCTCCTGAAGAAGCTACATACAATTGTAGCGAAACGTCGAGATGAACCCACTTTTGGGTCACTCACAAATGACACGGTCCAAACCCGGAAGACGAATAAACTATAATACTATAATGTTTTCATACACATAGTACTAAAAAAACACATGATTTCGCAACTGTGGATTCTGGTTGTTGTCTTCAAAGCCTACGAGTTTTCGTACTGGCGTTTGTAGCCGGAAAATTTGAAATAGTCAACCTTGGTTTTGCATGCAGTTTTATCATTTCCAGAACTATTTCTTTTATAAAACAAAATGTTGATATTTTCTAAAATTAACCAACGTGCGATGTATGTTTGTCAATTGAAGAGGGAAATGCTCACACTGCGTATGATAAGTGTTTAATTTGAATAGGATAACAATTTCAACAGAAAGTCCCAACTTAGTAGATTCAAAAACTCAGTTAGAGAGAAAAAGAAAATAAGAGTAGGCGACGTTAGTATGTTGTGTCCATTTTCATACATATATGGACAAAATGTTTATATTGTGATAAATGCCGCCTTAGTGGGTAGCTCATAATACTGCAATTGCTGCAAGATCCCAGTTTCTTTTGTTAGAGAAGAACTGAGAATACTTTTATAAATACAGGAACGATTTCTCAGATGTCGCGGCAAAATGCTTTTCTCGCCCAAGATCCAAATCAACTAAGCACCTGGCTACAAATATACAAAATCCTCGGAATTTGTTTTGATGATTCTGTACGAAGTAACGCGGCTCTAATTTTATTGTATTTATGTAACAATAAAACACTGAAAACTTTGTTTTCAAACTTCCACAAAATTTATTTTAAATATTATCACTACAGCTGTTTCGGCTGATTGCCTTACTCAAGTGATCTATTTTGGCTTGGGTTTACAAATTTATAGTCTCTAATGAAATAGGTTGAGGAGGGGAGAACTGTTTGTCTCAAGTTGGTCATTCAGAATTATATCTGTGTTTTTTAATTTGTTGATTTCCATAGATTCTAACAATGAAAGCTTAAGCCTTTATTTTGAATGTGAAGATTTGTGTTCTGCTATTCGTTTATCAAAGTTTCTACCAGTTTGAGCGATATAAGTTTTTGGGCAGTCGCCACATTGAAGTTTGTACACACCACTATTTAAGTGTTTTTTATACAAACTTCAATGTGACGACTGCCCAAAAACTTACATCGGTCAAACTGGTAGAAACTTTGATAAACGAATAGCAGAACATAAAAGGGCTTTCAAGAATAGAAAAACAGATTCGACATACGCACTTCACCTTCTAGATCATAATCATTCTTTTAATGACAAATTTAAAATTCTTCATATTCAAAATAAAGGCCTTAAGCTTTCTTGTTAGAAACAGCTGTAGTGATAATATTTAAAATAAATTTTGTGGAAGTTTGAAAACAAAGTTTTACAGTGTTTTATTGTTACATAAAATGAATTTCCATCAAGTAACGGTCGAATCCATCAATTATTCTATTTATATTACATATACTGTAATTCTTTTATATTTTTAGGTGTTGACCGAATCAGATCGGACTTCGAGTTTATGCTTGGACACATTTTATCTCACTTCTGGCTTATATTATGGTGGACCGCCCCAGTTGTTCTGACTGGCTTATTCGCATGGGGAATGATAACATTGCCATTGGAGGGTATTTACAAAGATGATCCAATCTGGCTATACGGTGTTGGATGGGGAATTGTTTTAACAGCCAGTTTACTTATATTCATCACTGGATTCTGCGTAGTTAAAAAACAGCACGGATATACATTCATAGAGGTAAGATTTAAGTACCTATATGGCTTCCCTTCATTTTTATCTCTATTAGAATGTTTATATTGCGTTTTTCTATCAAACTATATTATCAAAATTTATGGAAGATTGTCTAATATGGTTAACTTCATGTAAATCCTGTTTGTGTGTGTGTATGTGTTTGTCTATTTGATCCAAATGGATGGCTTGCCATGCGTATACTCATTTTTAATGTTGCTTATATTACTTTTAACGTTTGATTTGTTTGCAGAGATTTAAAACGTCATTCAAGCCCTCAAAGAACTGGGGACCAAAGGACCCAATAAGCCGACACAATTGGGTCCAATGGAACAGCAAAGCTCAATCTGGCGAAAGAGATTTTACATTAAAAAGAAAAGGTACAAAAGACTACACCAAATCCATAAAACGAACCAAGAAGCTAGCTGTAGCTGAAGCTTTCAAAGAAAAGGAGGAGAAACTTGAAAAGCAAAGCACCAATACAAGCAATGGTACTAACATTTATTCTGAACTAAACGAATCCAACAACATACATAAAAAACCCCATCAGAATGAAAGACCTCCATATAGAGTTGTTTCTCTTTCTGATGCAAATTTTATTCAGTTCAATGGGAGAAAAAATCCATTGGCAAGAAGAGAAGTAGTTTCGATGCCTGATGAATATGGAACTTTTCGAAGAGGTCCTTATGTTATAGAAGATGAACAGGTCGACCATGTATGTTTTAGAAAAATAAGTGATCATGAAGATGCCACAGAATTATAGTTGTATTTATATTTTGTATAATAAAATTTTATATTTTTACCATTACTTTTTCTTAATATGCCCTATTTTAAAAAGATAGCACATCAGCTAATGAAATATGTTCATTAATGCTTTAAGGGGACAGTCTCATGCGGAACTTTCAAAAAATCAATATTATTTTTTTTATAAATCGCTTCCATTTACATTCAAAAACTCCCTCCTAAAATTTTAAAAAGAAATTCCCACTAGAATATAAGTTATAGTTATTTTATTAACGTCATCTACGCACGTATGAAAACCGTTTCTCTCCGAGCGGCGAGCGCGAGGCTCCAGCTGTTCTTGTTTTTGTATATATGTTGTATATACGTTGGGTATGTATTAGTTATTCATTTTTATATAGTATGTATTGTACATTACATTATTATATACAAACGACATAATGTATATCAGTATAACATTTGGCAGTTACTATACACATTTGGAATTTTAAATCCGGAACATAGGATTTTTTACAAATACTAAGATTCTCTGCATTGCAATTAACCAGTGTTTCTTTATAACGTCGCGATGTTTTATAACTAATTTATTTGTTCCACGGTTTATAGTAGCGTATATGGTACGCCGACAGTGTTGCTCCGTCTACTGATTTTTCCTGAAAGTCCGGTTTTGTGCAGATAATAAATAATGTTTTATTAACATCAATTTTGTTTGTCTTCATTAGGTATTATTTGAGTTATAAAATTTATACTTAAATACATTTATTAATCCAAATAGTGTTTATAATTTCAAATTAAAAAGAGTGTAATATAATTATTTTAATTTTAAAATTCCTTTTTATTTTTAATTTTAGAAATCAACTTTTTTTTCAAGTCGTTTTTGCAATAAAACAACCATTTTTTTAGTTATAAAACATTTTCATATCTACATTTATAAATAAGTACGTTTTCGTTGAATTGATATGCAATCTAGGTGTGTTCCGTTTTTACACTTACACTGGCAGCATCGCGGCGTGAATTGAGAGTGAGACTCCAGTCAAACAAATGAATTAATTATAAAACATCGCGACGTTGTATTGAAATTTACAGCTTTACAAAGCCATTTACAACAACTGTTGGTGAACAGGGATGAAGGCGGTCCTCAATATTCACCAGGAATGGCCGATTAAACGTGAGTATAAAGTATCAGCCTTTTATTCACGAAAATTAGGTAAAAAAAATTTAAATGCTTTTTTCTCAAAAGTAACATTTTCAAACTGGTCAGACACTTTTCTCCGAACCTTCTTAACCGATTTTAAAAAACCAAAAATTTTTCGAATGTATATAGAAAGTACTAGATGATAAACCTTTAAAATATTTAAAAACCACCCTCCCTGTTATTATATATCGGTAAATCCACCAATCAAAATATAGTGATTTTTCGACTTTTTGAAAAAAATTATATAAACTCTTCAAAATAATACAATTTGCATATTTTAAAGGTTTATCATCTAGTTTTGAGTCTCACGAATACAACCCATTTTGTATTTTTTGAATATCTGTTACAGGTGACCCACAAAGTGTCTTACCACCAAAAACACACTTTACTACACGCCATCTACAGGACACCAATGAAGTTAAAATCGCTATTAAAAATTTTTATTATGTACTTCAAGACTTACTTAATCATCTCCAAAAGGAATTATGTTAATAAATATTATAGTTTTTTTTTTCTGCTTTAATTTTAAAATGCGTCTTTTTTTTTAATCGCATGAGACTGTCCCCTTAAATAATTAAAGAATAGTAAACGGTAAGTAAAGGATAAGAATAGTAAACCATGCTTAAAAGTTAGACTGATACTGATGAACTTAGACAATTAACTGTTATGAAAGATTTGCATAAAAAAGGCTGAAGCGTTCTATTCAAGAAAAGGCTAACCAAAAAATCTGCAAAAAAAAGGAACAAAAAGAAAGCCACCTGCATAGATTTTTAAAAAATGTTTTAATTCCGAAAATTGCCGTTAACGATGTGTACCCTAAACGCCAATTGTCTATGTATACCTTTAATGTACATGCCCTCTCTTCTGGTCAGTCTATTTTTTATACCTATCATGAAGAAATGGCTAAAAAAGGATCAAACGAAGTTGCATCTTTTCTTCTCCATTTTATATATAATTACCTTCAAGAAAATGTTGAAGAACTGCAAATCTTCTGTGAATCTGTTGGAGGACAAAATAGAAACTTTACTATTTTTAGATTTATTCATTTTTGTAGTAAACAGCAAAATTCATAATCTGAAAGAAATAAATATCACATTCTCTGTAAGAGGACATCCCTCTTTGGAGTGTGACAAAAATGTAAAATTGTGGGATTTGAATAGCGTCTTTGAGGTCCCGTAAGAGTTTGAAGAAGTCATTAGGCATTCCTGTTGCAAATCATCGCCGTTTATAATAGTGAGTGTGTTACAAGACATGGTACTGGATTGGAAATAATTTTTAGACACAATATATTTACAAAAATGCCTATTTAAAACTCAGAGTTTGAAGGAAATAGTGTCATCATCTGATCATAGTCACCTTATATATTACCGTTCAACAAATCAGAAAATCAAACATATATCAAAAAATCATCGGAAAAGACAGGTATCAAGATATAAATTACATAGGTGGGAGGGTGCTAAATCTGTGTGTGATAAATTACAGGTGACAGTGTGCTATGCAGGTATCCTATATTATAAATATTATAATATCCTTATTCACACCTTGCAAGTTTTATTTGTGTTGATAACAGTAAATTTTCATAATTTATTTAAATTCAATATTTACATTATCACATTCATGTATATATAAAACAAAACTAACAAAAAAAGGTAACTGTATTTATTCAAAAAAGTAAGATCAATTTGAAAATTTTATAAAATCTTATTAATAATATACTACAATTTCACTCATTCCATATGCTCAAGTACTTCTCTCCTATTGCTCTTATCCAAGAAAAATTCTTGAATATTTCTCACAAGGACAAGTATTCCACTAAAGTCCATTTTTTATTTTTCTCAGGCACTCACATTGTAACAATTATCCCATGCCTTGGCATTTACTTGTTTAAGAATAGTTTTCAGTGACGTTCCAGGTCCCACCTCAAAAGTTCTTGGAAAATATTCGCCTGGATCTCTTTCATACACTGTATGCAGCAGTTGTTCCCATTTGACCGATTTTACTATCTAAAATGCAACAAAAACAATTTGAATTGACTTTTTAAAATACAAATTAAAACAATAAGGTAAACAATACTTTAGGAGCCTTTGAGAGCTAATTTAGCAGAAAAATCATCCACAGCTTTTGAAAGGATGTTATTTTTCTTCCAGACTTTGTCACCTACATAAAATTTTACATAATGTAAATTGTAGCGTTTAGTGTTGGATTGTAAGAGTGACGTATTATCTTTTGAAGTTTATTAAAGATAGGCGAAATACTCTCTAAAGGCTTGAGATCAAACGATATTAATAGATGTTTCTTTAATAGCGCCAAAAATGAACCATCAACAGGAACATTTCTAGCAAACGTTAAAAATGAAGGAGAAAATTGTGTCACTTGATGTTTAGCTAGACGAATAGCTTGGGCTATTTTAAAAATCTTGTCCCAATCTTTATGATTGTCCTGAATAAAAGACCGAATTGCAGTATCAATCGTCTTATTAACCCGTTCAGTAGGATTTATATGAGAGAAGTATTTAGCACTGTACCAAATTTTTTGTACCTTGTATTTTTCCACGATCCACGATCCTATAGAATAATAGATCGTGGACTGTATAGTTTCTTAACTCTATTTATAAGAATCAGGTTCGGTCTTGTACCATATGAATCATCTCGTGCATGACATATCTTATCATTTATACACTATGTTAATGATATTCGCTACTTTGAAAGAAGACAGTCTTATCTCAAAAAAAAGTAAAAAATGTTCTGTTAGTAAACAGCTTTCAAATATTCAATATTTTTTGTGTGATAACGTCATAAAGTTAGTTTATGTCTACGGCCGTAAGATGGCAGAAGTGTCGTTATTGATATTTGAAAAGTTGGTTCGACATTTTGCACAATATTGTCATATTTCTTTGCTTGTCAGGTATCATGCTAAGGGTATGTACTTATTTTGTTTACCACTGTATCTTTTTGAGTCAGTATTTGAAAAAAAAAACAAGTATTATCATGTTTTATTTAAAGAACAATGTATTAGATATTTCGCAATATATCATCCTTTTTCAAAAAACCAATAATACAATACTTTCTGTAAAGAATAATGAATTATTTTGAGTTGTGTCAGTCTTGTAAAGAAGTTGAGGTTATGTTTAAACTAATGACGTTCTTAAAACTCCAGTTGGAACTATTTCAGATTAGAAAAATGACGCAAGGATTTAGTTGAAGCTGAAGTTGACTTCTGTCAAAAAAAAAATGAAGAAAGTGTATTATGGAAAGTAGTTTTTACACTATGGCGTCTTTGTTCTTATTTTTGTGACAGGTATACATTTGTAAAAAAAAAACAAGTAAAGCAATTTTAATAAAGAAGTGTTAATAAAAATTATTATATTATATTATAAGTTTTAATAAATAATTTAATAATAAGTATGGGATTTACTATAGGTTTTTACAACAAAGTCAAAATATTCCGATGCCAAAATAGCCCGTTCGCAGTTATGAGCAGTTATATATTTTTTAAAATTCATCGATTTTTTAAATGGACATTTCTGAAAATTGTCATATATTGACATAAGACGGTCTTCTTCCAAGGTAGAGATATCCCTTTGGTGTTTTTATGTTTTTGATGGGGAAAAAACTAGTAGCCCGCCTGGTCAAGGGCATCAAATCTCTGAAGTAGATATATCCTCTATCAGGATCAAAGAAGAGTACCTAAGCGCTATCGCATACGATGATATACAGCATCTTCTAAAAGAATGATATTCCAGTCTCTCTAATACATATATCGTTGTTAGAGAGCAATATAAATTACTCAGAACTATCTACAGAAACTACCTTAACGAATTTACAGATTATCCAGCTATGAAGCAATACAGCTACATGTTCGTTCGGAATTAGCAAAAACTAAAGTTTTTGAATCAAATTGAGGAAGATCTGAAAACTAATTTATGTTCTAATTTATAATCTTAACATCTAAAAATTGTTTTCCAAAAAAATTTAAAAAGCACAATGTATTAAAAAATAAAAGTTACCTGTTTTGGTAGTTGATGTTTAATGTGAGCTGCATCTTTATAAGCTTTACCATCTACACAAGAATATACTTTAATGACGGGATCAGTAACTTCAGACTTCTTTAAGGCTGCTCTAAACGTATCTACAGCAGGTGCCATCAAGGCTGAATGGAAAGCTCCACTAACAGGTAGCCTTTTAACCTTACGTAGTTTAAACTCGTTTAAATTCTTCTCTAGAAATTCTAAGGCCTTAAAAAAACTTGTTGTTAATTTAAAAATTTCTTTTGTCATTAAAACATTTTACTATTATATTATATTACCAAATAAAAGTATGTTGGTTGAAATAGAAAAGATGGTCGTTAAGTGTTAAGAATGCACAAAAAACAAAAAGTCTTTTGTGTATTGTACCAAAGTTACCAGCCTACTTTGGCTTGACCCAAATGTGTTCGTCATTTTCAAGTAAGTGCTCAGTATGCTTCCCCATAGTTAAAAATTCATAATAATCGACATTATATCGTCTAATCCCAAGTTCATTTAACATTTTTCATATGTAAACAAAGTCTACCCTTAGTTTTTACAACACAGAAAATAAATTAAACCTACATTAGCAATTAGACATTGAAGCACCACCAAGAGAAAGTGTCAACTACCATCCAAAAACTAAAACACCAGGAATCAACGGAATCTGCTCTGAAATGTATAAATAAGGTGGTGACCAACTTTTGGCAGCAATCTATAAACTAATAGTACTTATAGGACAAAACGAATTGATACCAGAGGAGTGGCTAAACGGAATAATATGCCCACTATCAACTTGACTGCAACAACTATAGAGGCATTACTCTATTAGTATCTGCATATAAAATATTCGGCAAAGTACTTTTTGACAGACATAAACCAGTCATATAACGTCAATTAACTCTTCTTGGCATTTGCAAGAAGGGCTGAGCCATGTGCAAAACGTAGATTGTTTATTTTTCGGCCATTTATTGAGATGCCATTTTCCCATGCTTCCAGGGCTCTTCTCATAATTTGCTCTCCATATATATCAAATAACCATGGAGACAGTTTGAGAGTGTGTCAAGCACTTTATCTGTTTCAGTAGTGTGTTCGAATAGTTGTTATAAGTGAAATTAAGTGTTGTGGTAAGCCTATTTCTTTTAGTATCTGCCATAAGTAGGGCTTTGTGATTATCTATAAAACGAATGTATGATGGGATATTGAATTCACTAAACTTTTCTATTATTCATCTTATGTTTAGAAGGTGTTCTTTAGTACTTCTACTTTTGGTAAATCCAGTTTTCTCTTGGGATATTTTTCTTTGGCAAAACTAACAATGTAAAATGTAACCTCGTGCGTTATTATACAAGGAGACAACTCTATGTTCTTTAATATTAATAATGATCTAAGACATGTAGCTGCACTAAAATACAGGAGCAGATACAAGAGAGGAATAAGGAAATTCTCCCCCCCCCCCCTCGCTATAGGGTCCAAAATTAAAGAAAAAACTTGTTGAAACATAAAAATATATTATTTCATACGAAACTTAAACCACAGACAGATTAATTCAACCTAATAAACTTGTTAGTCAGAAAAATTAAGGGAACTTAAGTAATACATATAAGTTTCTGTCTTTTTTTAAGTCTTTTGGTTAGTGTTTGATTGGAAGGTGTCTAGATCCAGTCCTACTTTAATATTTCCTTGTCAGGCTGATAAACATTTATTCAATAAATTGACACAATTTTCGCATTCGCTGATGATATCGTTGTAGTGGATTGAAAGTATGAGAGGAGACATAGTGTATTGCTTTACCAAGTTTATGAACGCGGCATGTGAACTAGGACTTGTATTGTTATAAACGAGGAACCTAGGACTTGTAAAGTAGGAAAAACCAAATATATATTGGTTGCTAAAAACCTTCAAAATTTTCAACAGAGAATCAAATTAATAACTGTACCTTTGAGCAACTCAAAAAATTCAATTATCTTAAATAACTAGTAAATAGATAGATAGATAGATGGTTTATTGGTAATAAATTAATACAAAAGTATTTTTTACAAGTCAAAGAAAATAAAATATATGTCAATATAGTTAATATGCACATAAATATAAACACATAACATACATTGTTTTAAATTATACTGTTGACAATTACAACAAATTAAAATCGGAAGTAAAATACTCCCCATATGTAAAAAAAGCATTCGCTATAAGGTAACTCTTAATTTTTGCCTTAAACTGATGAAAATTAAGAGCTTTTATTCTAGCTGGCACTAAGTTGTAGAATTTTATGGCTAAATACCTTGAACCATTTCTGGATCTCTCAAGACGGCTAAATTCTGGTATAAGATTATTGTTAAATCTGGTGGGATAATTGTGAAAATCTACATGCGCATTGTATTGGCTAAGATTTTGTTTAATGTGCAACAGACACTGCATAATGTATACACAAGGTAAAGTTAAAATTTTTAAAGCTCTAAAGGAGTTTCTACAGTCTGCTCTATAAGAGAGCCCAGAGATAATACGAACACACTTTCTTTGTTGTGTAAACACTGTATCAATATGACAAGAGTGACCCCAGGAGAGAATAGCATATGTCAGATGGAGAATGAAAATTACTATGATAAGCTGTTAAAATAGTTTCCCTGGAAATCACGTGTACAAGGTTACTGAAGAGGAAAAGTTGTCGTGAAAGCTTTTTCTATAGATTAACTATATGTTGTTCCCAAGTTAATCGTGCATCCAAATATATTCCCAGAAAGTTCGCTCCGGTTACACATTGTGGTAGCAACGTTTCAACACAAGTGTTATTTCTTAGAGTAAAATTAACACTTTGTGATTTAGAGTCAAATTGTTCAAAGAGAGACAGTTAGTTAAAAACCAATTGACTAAGTTTTTTTCAGATGTTTGGTAATCAAGGGTGTCGAATTCAAAAGGATGATAGCTTGCATAGAAAGTAGTGTCATCAGTAAATAAAACAGTGTTGACTGTTTCATTTTGAGAGTACACTACCTATGTATCGACCAAACCGAGCCTTGAGGGACACCAAACAACAGAGATTGTTTTTGAGAATCACACTGGTTGAAGTGAACATATTGATCCCAATTTGATAGTATTGAATCAATTAGTTGAATAGCATCACTATGAAAATTATAATAAGGAAGTTTTTTAAGCAGAATACTATGTGTGACACAATCGAAAGCCTTAGTAAGATCTAAAAACGATGCAAGAGTATCAAGATATTTCTCAAACCCTTCCAAAACATTGCTAGTGAAATGATCAATAGCTAAAGTTGTTGTTTTATTTTTTCGGAATCCGTACTGATTTATGGCAAACAGTTTATTAGATTCAAAATGTAGATTAATTTGATTATTTAAAATTCGTTCATAAACTTTTGATAAGATGGGCAACAAAGAAATGGGTCGATAATTGTTATAATCATCAATAGAGCCTTTATTCTGAAACAGAGGTACTACCTTTGCAGTTTTGAAAACTTGAGGATAAGTAGTACAAAACATTGATTGATTTATTAAAGTTGTTAGAGGTTGAACAATTATATCTTTAATTGTTTTAATAATTTTTGTGTTAAACCCATCAGGATCTTTGCTGTTATTATTTTTTATTTCTGTAATAGTTAAGTCAACTTCACTAAAGTTCACTGGATGAAAACTAAAACACGGACTATTTTTCTGTGGTATATACTTTAAATAGTCATCAAGAGTTAGCTGAGGAACCTCAAGCTCACTTATTACTCTCAGCAGTTGAGCAGAAGTGGCTATTAAAACTATCTGCATTGAGTTTAGAATTATCAGTGAAGAAAACATTTTTATGTTTGTTACCATTAATAAGTTTATCACATAGCTTGTTAAAAGTTGCCAGAACTTTTTTTATAAACCTATCATTTGCATTAATTTTTGAAGCTTGATGGCATGGCTTCCCTGTACTCTTTTCAAGTTTTATAATGGTACTTCTAGGTACAGCAACGGAATCGTTTCTATTTATTGCTATAATAAATTGAAATACAACCAATACAACAAGCGACGAAGGAAAAATGACGCATAGCAATATTACCGAAAATGTTTTGAAAAAAAAAATTTGTAATCCTTTTGGATATTTTCATAAATTTTTAATTTAATATACCAATTGCACAATAAATTTTACCTTCATTGTAAGTTTTTTTAAACTGTGGTGTAAAGCAAACCATTCTAGACTTTCTTTTTATAACAAATCCATTATTATTTTCCAAAGAGAAATAATATGTTAGTTATACGATTTAACTTACCGATTCACTACCAGCAATAACTTTACAATGTGGAAATAAATAGTTTGCTATCGTACATTCAGGTAATGGATCTCCTTTGTCAACAGCCCATTGCTTAGCTTTGAGACAAGCTTGATTTAATTTACTGTCAGGTCCATATATTACTGTTGCCATTCCGCCTTTATAAGCTTCTCCAGCTAACTGCATTGCTTCTCCTCTAATTTTAACTAACTGTAAAGCTGTAAATGAACAAATATTTCATTTTTAGGTTTATGTATTAAAAAAAAATGCATAAAAATAAATTTAAAAAATTATCTAATATCTGATAATAGCACTGCTTCATACACTGCACTTCCCAAACCCCATAAAGAAAATATTCCACTTAATGTTAGCTGATCAACATAAAACCTCTCAAAATGCTTGGAGGATATATAGTAGGTAACAATCAAATAATATGTAGAGGACTCATGGGATTTCCGTAAATTTATTTCAAAAGAATGTATTACAATATAATTATTATACATTATAAGCCACAAATTTAGATCGCATGATTTTAGATCTAAAAAGGTACGATATATAACCGTAGTATACAAATAATGGCATACACTGATGATATCGTCATAATTGGAAGAACCCAAAATGAAGCAGTGGAGGCTTTCACACGTATCAAAAATGCCGCAGAAAACATCGGACTTCTAATTAACATCCAGAAAACTAAATATATGCCGGCCATATCAAGAATTCAACAAAATAACTTAGAGGTGCAACACGAAACGATAGAAATGGTAGAAGAATTCTGCTACTTAGGATCACTGGTAGACTACAAAAATAACACATCCAACGAGATAAAAAAAAAGAATACACATGGCTAATGCATAACGTTTTGGTAACGTTTTGGCCTGGGCCCTCAACTAAGAGCGAGAAGTATGTCAATAGCAACAAAGTGCAAACTTTATAAAACAATAATACGCCCAGTGCTCACATATGGATCGGAAACATGGGCAATGACGACCCGAGATGAAGAGTTACTACAACTCTTTGAAAGAAAAGTATTGAGGACCATGTATGGTAGAGTAAACGAACAGGGTCTGTGGAGAAGGCGATATAACTTTGAACTCTATAGACTTTTTGGTGATGCAGATATTGTGAAGACCATCAAAATAAACCGCCTAAGGTGGGTAGGACCATGTTATGCGGATGGATGAGAGTGATCCCACTAAAATAACTATGATAATCATTATCCCTCCAGATACTACAAAGAATGTAGAGTAGAATCTTTAAAGTAATTTTAAACAGTCCTCGTTTTAGTGTAGTGTTTTGTACAATTTTATGATATTATTAATGTTTCTACATTCTACGCTTGCCGGATAGTTTATATTTTGACGAAATGCCCCTGAAGATGCTATTTTAAGCGAAAAGTACTTGGACTAGATTTAATTAACTTGTGCTCGATAATAGCCTTATTTTTCAAAGTGCATTTATTCGAGCATTCAACCTCATTTCAATAATTATTGTAACTACTGACGCACATTTGAGACTGGAGACCAAATATTCCATAAAAAAGATATTGAACTGTTAAAGAATCATTGAAACTAATGTCAAATAGTATTATTTGCTATTGTTGCATGATTTATTTATATACAATATTAAAATAATATACAAACCTCTCTCAAATCCTAGAGCTCCAGCAAAAACTAAAGCAGTAATTTCTCCTAAGCTAAATCCAGCAGTAGCCATACAATTTGCTACAGCATTTGGTCTTTCTTCTTTTAACTGTTCAATTGCAGCCAGCGAAGCAACCATAACAGCTGGTTGGCAATATTTTGTTTGGTCTAATTTACTTTTGGGACCCTAAAAATTTAATACATTGTATTATATGCCATTGGTAGTCAAGTCATACTAAAAATCAAACAATTTTGAAATATTCATATACTTTAATGTAGTATTCAATAAAAAAGGAAATACATAAGCCAGGTAATCCTATTGGATATAAAATTAATCTTCTGTAAATAATCCAGAAGTAAAAAAATTCATTTTTTGTATTAATATACCAACCAATGATTGTGGCACAGCTCTCAGTAAAGATATCTTTTAACTATTAAAAAACTTCTTACAGCTATGGGCTGTCTTTAAAAGTCCATAAAACATATCCCAACATGTTACAACTCATTGGGTTGGCGATAGATAAATGTTCTCTTTCACACTTCTGAGTATTATAGATTGTACATAGCAAATGTACATTTTTTCTTATATTTTTAGGATATTTATTAGTAAGACGGAACATAAATTTCATCTCTGCAGACATCATTCTCTCTTACTACACTAGTACCTTAGAGGTAAATGAGCTGGCTTAAGGTATCTTTAATTACTTCTTCTCTGTTTAATGATCTCTTATTACATTATTGTAATCAATAAATCAATTGATAATAAAGCACAAATAAATTTTAACATACCTCTAAGCATAATTTCAGTAAATCATATCCAAGAATGTAGTTTGCTAGTTCAAACAGATCCTTAGCCATAGGAAATTTCATTAAACCTTTGGTCATTCCTACAAACTGAGCTCCTTGTCCTGGAAATATTATAATTGAAGCATCCCTTGGATCTTTCTTTTCTTTTTTGTAAAATTCACCTTGTTTTCTTATTTTGGTTCCTTGGGGATATGGTAATGTGGCCCATTGTTGCTTGTATTCTTTGGATACGTCTTGAAAAGTAGAAGAATCGTCTAATAATTTTTTCAGGGGGGAATCGTTTTTCTTTTTTGAATCACAAAAAACCTGGATACTGGTGAAAATGTGTCTAAGATTTAATTGAATGCTATCAAGCTCATTTCTTTTTAAAAAATTAATGTTTAACCTTCTAATCATCTTGACAAGCACATTCCGATTAATTTTAAACTAATTATAAAATTAACTCTATTTATTTTCAAAAAATTAAATATCTAAAATTGCTTTTTATATTAACAAAACATGTATTTTTAAAATTTCGGCACAAAATTAATCCATAACCTAAAATTTTCTTCTTCTTTTCTGATAGCTAAAATTAGGAACCCTTGAAGTAGCTAGCCAGGAAGTATAAAAAATAAATCGCTTCATGGAAATAAAGAAGTCTTTAAAAATAAGAGAATAATAAGCATAATAGCAAAATGACAAAAATAAAATCAATTTGAAATCGATGATGTCTGTAAAATAAATAAACTGAAATGCTCCGTGAATTGTTATAGCAAGGAAGCTAGGTCATTATTGACTGCTATTTTAAAATATTTAAACTTAGGTAAACATTGTATTGGAAGCAATATACCTACTTATTTATATTGAAAGGAATTAATAATAAAATTGAACAAACGATCTAAACAAACAATGAATTGCAATGGAATATGTGATACTACAAATTTTAGAGAATTTTGAAGAATGGATAGGAGAAAAAAAAATAAAACTTGAGAAAACGGGAGTATTACTTAACAATTAACAAGTTAAAAATAAGGGAATAAGTAGCTCATATCGTAGTAGCAAACGTATCTCCCAGAGACAGGGAATCCAGCAAAGACATCGCCCCGTTTATTCCCCTCTAAACGTAATGCCCGGGTATCCTGTGGCGCACCCAGGGGGGTGTTGGGTGTTAAAACCACCCCACTCTCGTGCATATGAAGTAAACAATATATAAAGAATAGTAGGAAAATGTAACTTGTCTTTCACACACAATACAAAAAATCCAAAACGCTAATTGAATAATTAAATTACCATTACCTATTTAAATATATGGAACACAATAATTATTGTATAAATACACAATACTTAATAATATTTTACCTTATATTTAGATATAGATACCTAATATTAGGCTTATAAAAAAGTAGACAGAACGAGTCTGTTGCGAGTAGCATGCGCCTACTCGTACAGGACTATCTGCGGCGGCCTTATGACTATCACGGGTTGTGTTCCTCTGCACATGTGTTAGTAGTAGAAAAGGAGAGCATTTGACAACAGCTATAAAATAAACAAAACTCTAGCCTTCATCGACCTTGAAAAGGCGGATGATAAATTGTGGCAAGCTTTACAACAACTCGACATTAGGCCATACCTTTTAGCATTGATTATAAACCACTACAGGTAGTGGTTTATAATCAATGCTTTTAGTAATAATAACAGAATATACAGAGATAACACTACTTACCTAAAAATCGGAAATAGACAATCAGAGCCAATAAAAGTAACTAAAGGACTAAAACAAGGATGCAGTATATCACCCTTAAGGTAAATGTACCAGTATTTGACACCTTAAGAATAAAAAATACAAATTTTGAATATAAACGACGCATTTATTTGAAAAAACAAAAACTTTAAGAAAACCTAGGTAATATGATGCTTCTAAAATAATGTGTTTATAATTAGGTTAATGAAGACATCAAGATTATTCAGAAAATAAACAAATTTGGGGCTGCAAATGTCCCTGTAGTTGACACTAAAAAAGTTGTCACCAGTGCTCGTCACAATAATGATCTAGTAGTTGACACTCATTTAGTCGATCACCTGCTGCTGTCATATTTGGGAAATCAAGCTTTTCTCTTATTTGTTTAAAACCAATGACATTTAAATAATCTGAATTTAGTTTGAAACAAGTTTTTTTCCATATTACAGCAAATCATCGCTACTACTTCAGCTTCAGTTTTGAAACAACTTCCTGAATAACACAGACGAATTTATGAACTCTTTTTTTTCTCCTGGAAACTCAACTAATACATAGTCGCCTTCTCTATAAGTACCTTTGGTTTTTTCAAAATTATCCACTGGGTTTCTCAAATTTAAACTTATATTGCTAATATTGTCTATGCTGTCACCTGATTAAACTCATTCCTCATCAGACTCTGAATCAGAGGATATATCGTATGTTGGTTTTGTTTTTATTTTTGGGCTTTTCTTTTGTTCTATTTTGTTTCTTTTTATTAGTTCACGTTCTTCTTTTTTAGAAAGCCTTTCTCTGGCTCTTTTTTCTTGTTATCTTCATGTTCTACTTTAGATTTTTCCTTTGCCACTGTCTGGAGGAGGCTACTGATGGTATTTGTTCCCTCTTCTGTTTTTTCCTTTTGGTAGTTTTGGCTCAGGCCAATAGAGAACCCTTTTAAAAGGAGAAGGTATTTTAACATTTGAGACATTTGGTGAAGGGGCTTGCGTCATTGCTGACGGGTTCTCAATTTCTACAGTACTTGGTGGATCAATGTCACGTGAACTCGAGGGACCTTGAAAGTAAAGCGTTGACTGAATCACATTAATATTTGAAATGCTTTCATGTGAAGTTGAAGGGATCGGCGCTGTGTCTGTAATTTTTTGACAGGTGTCATATGTATATCTGGTGTGGTGGTCATGTCATATATTTCATCTGCAGAATTGTTGGGGATTTGTTCTAGCTGTTTTTTCTGTTTATTATTTTCTTTACTCTTTCTGTTTATTATTTGCTTTAAAATTAATACAATTAAATATAGTTGAATTCAAGTTAATTTTTTAATAGTATCAAAATAATGCTACAATAAAAAATCTTTATGTTTTCTCCTTAATTTGCTACCCAAATAGTTCGATCGTCAATATTATTTGGAAACCTACATAGAAAAATAAATGAGTTTTATTCATTTCACTAATTTATTTGTATCCATGAGAAATATTAAATTAAAAAGGTACTAAACAGATCTTTTTTAATCAAATGATCTACTTACAATTTATAAATGTCTACTAATTTCATGAACTCATATCTTATTCAATACATTAATGAACATGGTACGCCTATTAAAATGTAAACAAACACGCTTCCTCATTCCTCATCTAAATAATGTAAATTGTATGTACTTACAAATGAAATGAGAGATCGGGATGTAAATATTTCGTTTATTTTATTTCACTTTTCACAAATATCACTCAAAATACAGCCAAAATATCGAAAAATAACTTTTTCCTCATTTACTGTAAAAAGTAAACAAACATGGAACAGCATTTGAAGTTTGACGTAGATCCATAAGACAGAGAAATGTAAACAACCATTGCCATTTGTAAATAGTTTTCAGTGCTTCTACATATAAAATAATTGTATAATATCTATTATACGCTATTCTTAAATGATAATGCACACTATGTGCACACTTGATATTTTGATTACAATTAAATATATTAATATAACCAATAAATTATTATTTGGGTTTGATAGCACCTGTAGAGTATAAACTAACGGAGTAATATTTTCAGCGACTCGCGAATAAGAAATTTTAAAACAAAACGTGACAACAGTTGAAGGTGCTCAGAATGTGACCTATTCAAATAATTTTGACTTCACAATTTTATGTAAATAACTGAGTCCATCTGTGTTTATATGTCCATGGTTCAGACAGTTCCCCCTGAATTCATACCCTACATTAAACTTTTTCAAGAGTCAGTTTTGTTAAATTTACCAACTGATTTGGTATTTCTAGCTTTTTCATTGCTTTGAACATTTCTCTTCTATTCACAGAATCGTAGGCTGCTTTGTAGCCTACGACTATGTCATGAATATCTATGTCATAATCCAGTGTTTTTTCTATTCTTCTCCTTCATTAAGGAGGGATTTCTGTGTTCATATTTCTTTTATAAGCTTCTGGAATGCCATTATGGCCCCATGGCCACCTTTTTTATATAGTTCAGCTGGGAGATTATCTATTCCAGGTGATTTGTTTCTGGCTAGTTTTTAACTGCATCTTTAACTTCAAGAATCGATGGTAGTTCCTCTTCCCGCTCGACTGTTCATAGTTCTTTAGTTCATATTCTTTTCTTCGTTCATAGTATCGAATTTATACATCCATTGAATTTATTTTCGTAAGATCTTCTCAAAAAAAGTTATAGTACTCATACAAATATCTCTCGAATTTTCTTAAGCAATGAATGACCATTAGCTAGCCATTTACGTCTCCATTTTTGGTGATTTTGGATTGGAAGAGGTAGGAAAAGTGTAGCTGAAAAAAGATTTGTAAAATTCAAATGCAGTTATAATAAAAGAAATATATTTTTATAACAATTTTAATGGGCAACATCAGAAGCTTAATCAGTACAGCTCAAAAACCATATAAATAAAGCAGGGGTGAAAATTATTTTGGACTTCAGACAAGGTGTTCCAACTTATCATCAACATGAAGGTGACGAGTTATACAAATATTTAATATCTTAATTGCAAAATTATAACTAAGTTCTAAGTAAGACCCCATCACCTGCTTTATTTAGGGTGGGTCGAAAACAAAAAGGCCAAGGAAATATTTTTTTTTGGAAATTCAATATTCCAGTAACTAACAAAAACTGATTTCACAACAGTTAAATGTTAAAAAAGAGTAGAGTGCCATGATGGATGGAATCCACTCTACATCTTTTTTCAACATCTTATCAGACTTCAGTGGAAGCTCTTTTAATCATCAAAGAAGCCGCCACTTGTTGCTTATAATGTGCTTATGTTTTGATTAAACCGTTGTAAACTTTTTGCCTTGTACTGGAATAAAATCTCTAAAAAAACTTTTCGTCCCACCCTATATCATTTCAAACTTAACATACACATCAAAAAATCAAATATACATACAAACATTAGACTAGAAAAAAAATTAAACTTTCGTTTTCTTTAATTATACAGTGAAATTTTAGCGTGCAAATTTTTATCATAGAAAGTACACAAACACTGTCTAAAATCCAGGAAATTAAAACTGACGAAAATTAAATATAAAATTCTAACTCAAACTTACGTTTTTTGTTTAGTAAAAATCTCACATTAAAATATAGCCCAGGTAAACACTCTTACTTTACAAAGGGTCCAAATGGTTTTAAAATTTGTTTAGAACTTTCAAGAAACGTTGAATAATCATCATAGTTTTCCTAAGATCTTTAAAGATTATTTATCATAACTATTTAAGTTAACTATGTTTGCGATCAACTTTCAAACAAAAAAAAACAATTAAAAAGCATTTTTCAGTTTCAAGTTACATAGTTTGTAAGTGTGAAAGCATTTATAACT